AGACAGAGAGCAAGAGCGAGAGCGAGAGAGAGAGAGAGAGAGAGCGAGAGAGCGAGAGAGCGAGAGAGCGAGAGAGCGAGAGAGAGAGAGAGAGAGAGAGAGAGAGAGAGGTTAAAGAGGGTTATGCAGCTTCTCAGTAAGCTGGGATTTGTCTCCAGCTGTCTGATTTCAAAGTCTATGCTCTGTGTAAGGAGAGCTATTCCACTATATATGCCTCTGATCTGTTTGCATCTTCACAGAATACATAGAGACAAAGAGATGTAGAGCCAAGCTAGGCATGGGGGTGCATACCTACAATGCCAGCACTTTGGAAGTCTAAGCAACTAACTGGCACTTAGCAGACAACCTTGACTACATCTTTGTCACTTGTCTCCCCGATCATCCAACTTCTATTCTCAGTAAGGAGGATCACAAGTTTGAGTCCAGTCTAGGCAACTTAGTGAATTAATAAGCCATATCTCAAAATACAAATCACTGGAGATGTAGCTCAGTGTGAAGAAGGCCTTGGGTTCAGTCCCACTACCACCAAACACACACACACACACCACCAACAACAGTAAGATAAAAGTGGTGCAGAACCAGAAAGGAGCTCTGCTAGAGGCTGTGTGTGGCTGAGGCATGCAGCTGGCAGGCAGTACAGACTAGTGAAGTGTGAAGACATCCTACATGGCCTGAGGCTGCAGCCCCAGGTTAGTGCTTCACCAGGCTTGGGCTGCAACTGTGGACCTAGATGGAGAGGGACTGAGAAGTGGAGATTGGGCTTGGGGAAGAATCTTCAAGTCTTACCAGCCTCCCAAACATGAGACTCTTTCCTTTTAGGATTTTTCTCTCAACTTCAAACACTGGTTTCAGTTAGATAATTCTACCAGGAACTTTGAACTCAATCTGTATTGCACCCAATGAAGAGCCACCTTCTGTGTTATTCCCGGAGGGTAAGACTGGGGTATGCTTCATTTAAAGATGTCCAGCTGCAGGACCACAATACCCTGAATCTCAACTTTCTTTAACTCTCAGCTCTTTCGTTGGCCAAGTCCACTGCCCACCCTCCTGTCCTGGAAGGAACATAAATACCCTCAGTGACTCCTGAGAAAGGGAGAGATCCCATCAGGATGGAGGAAGAGGAGGCAGTGAATTGGATTCTGATTAGAAGTCTAAGTTCTGGCCATCATGACATGAATCTCCCATAGCTTTGTAGTCTTGCCCTCCAATATTGTAGGCCTCCTTCTTTACCTGCAAGTTACACAATAACCTGGATATGTCAAGCTCACCCATTTCTCCCTGATCTTCCATGTACTTGTCCAGTATCAAAATGTCCATTTCCTATCTGGAAATTGACTCATTCTTCAAGGTCCAGATAAAAGACTGACTCAGCTATAAATAAAAATAATTAACAAAGTCAACTGTAAGATTTTGTAGAAAGTGAGAGCAGATTACCTCAACTACATCTTTATCCCTTGCCTGCCCTGGTCATCAACTTGTATTCTCAATAAGGAGGGGGTACTTACTCTAGTAAGGAAAGAATCACCTAATAGGTTTCCAAGGGCCCACTTAAGGGTCTGGCGTAGTCCAAAGCCCTAGAGCCTCATTAGCAATCTTCTCCCCAACTGCTATCTAAGGACCATGCTGGTCTCAGAAGGCTGGGGCTTCAGGGATGAGAAAGATGATTTGGGAAATCTGAGCTCTAGTATCTTGGGAGAGTCTGAAACTCTGGGCTAAGAAGACAGGAAGCCATTCCCTTGAAGTGACAAGGGGACTGTCTATAGCAAGTGTAGGAACAAATTTGAACTCAGGAGAAAGAGTAATCCAAAAAATCTTGGCAGCAGCTCTCTTTAGATAGGAAGGCCACACTCTATCCACATTTTCCTAAAATTTGAAACGAAGTGTAGCTAGAATACTGATGATCTCAGGGTGGAAGGATTGGGAGCAACATCAATAATATGATAGAGGGCTGGTGAGATGGCTCAGTCGTCTAAAGCACCTACTTAGAACAAGCTTAGCAAAGCACAGGGACCGCGGTTCAATCCCCCAGCACCACATGCCAGCCAGCCCCGCCCCCTGGTGGGCTGAGCTGGCCACACACACACACACACACACACAAATAAATAAATAAATAAATAAATAAAATAATATGATAGACCAGGAGGACATAGTCTTTTAATCCCACAAAAACAATAATCTAGCAGCTTTCCATAGGCACAAATAGCTCTAGAGAGTCCTAGAGTTCAAATAAGGAGAAGCCGCAACCAAGTACAACACAAAATGCAATAACTTCATAGAAAAGATTAAGAATATTTTCATTTTTCTCATGTCATCCCATCTCCAAGGATGATACACATCAGGGATGAGAAAAATCCCTTTTGCCATGGGTTCCTCTGCTAGGGAAAAGGGAAACAGGAGGACCCCAGGAGCTTTTATCAACAATGGTCCCAGCAACCTTCACTGGGACCACACATTCCCATTGACTGCACTGCCAATGAGCTCCATGATCTTCAATGTCCTGGACTCCAGCTTCTGGAGCCATCTAGAGCCCCCGCCACTCTGCCTTACTGGCACTGGAGTCACTATACCTCCTACCCTGGTGTTCCTAAGTCCAAAACATATGACTCCCTGCACATCCAGCCAGCACTCTTGTGCCCACCTATGAGTGAAAGTCTTTGCCTACTGAAGCCATCCATAATGTCTGGATATCATGCCTGCCTTTTCAAATGAAACACTAGAAATAAAGGAAATATAATATGTATAAAGGAACACAATACATTTCTAGTAATTCCAAAAAAAAAAAAAAATGAGTTACCAGAAGAGAACTTCTGAGTAATTGCTTTGAAAAACTCCATGAAGTTACATGAAACCAAAGATGGCTAACTTAGTAAAATCAGGGAAATAATATGTGAACAAAATGAGAAGTTTCACAAAGATTGAAATCATAAAAAGCAAATGAAGGGCCGGCCAAATAGCTCAGTGGATTAAAGCACCTGCAAGTAGGTGCAGGGGCTGGGGGTTCCATCCCTGGGCCTGTTGTGCCAGCCCTGCCCCTGGGGCATGCTAAGATAGCAATTGAGACTGGGCATGGTGGTGCATACCTGTAATCCCAGCTGTTGGGAGGCTGTAAACAGGCAGATCACTAAGAGTCTGATCAGGTAGTGAGACCCTGAACAGACTATAGACCCTTCCCTAAAATACAGAAAAATACAGAAAAATACAGAAAAATAAAATAAAAAGCAAATGAACTGGGGCCCAGGAGATAGCTCAGTGGCATAGGCACCTGTCTGGTGAGACAGGGTCCTGAGTTCAATCCCAGGTACCCCCTAAAATGCAGATGAATGCAACAAAATTGTGTCACTGGTTATTTCATATAAAAAGTGAATGAAGTGAAATACTGAAGCTTAAGGAAGCAATGACTGAAATGGAAAATTACAGTAGAGAGCTTCAACAGCAAATTTGATCAAGAAGGGTCAAGGAACATGGAGATAGTCATTTGAGGTTTTCAATCAAAAGGCAAAATAGAAAATAAAAAGAAAAATAGGAAGAAATTCTACAGGATTATGCGATGTCACTGAACAAATATATGGAAGTACTAGAAGGAAAGAAGAAAATAGAAAAATACTAAAAAAAGCATTCTAAAAAAAAAAAAAAGCATTCTAATGGAGGAAACAACCTTCCATATTCAAGAATCCCAAAGGACCCTGAAGAGGTTTAACATGAAGACGTTTGCATTGAGTTAAAATTTCAGAAGTCAAAGACAAAGTTGAAAAACATGAAAAAAGTAAGTCATCCCATAGGAGAGAATGAGATAATATATTCAACGTACTGAAAGAAAAAAACTGACGATTAAGAAAACTATGCCTAGGTCTGTACTATAATTAAATATAAGGTATAATACATTATGTTAAGCTACCCTATAGTTGAAGGAGAAGCCAAGCATGATGGTACTTGATTGTAGTCGTAGCCTCTTGGGAGGCTGAAGTAGGAAGATCACTTGAGCACAGGAGGTCAAGGTCTGGTGGGGCAACATAATAAGATAGCCATTTCAGGGGCTGGGAGATAAGTGGGCAGTCCAAGTGTGAGGATCCGGGTTCTATCCTTGCTATGCATGCTGTGCTGGCCCATGGTGTGGTGGTGCATGCCTGTGATCCCAGCACTGGAGAGGCTGAGACAGGAGGATCACTACAAGTCTGAGCTGTGTAGTAAGACCCTGTACCAAATAAATAAATAAATAAAGAAAGAAAGAAAGAAAATAAAAGATAGCCATTTCAAAACAACTTAAAGAGAAAGTCTTTTCTAGACAAAAACTATAGGAGTTTGTCACCACTAAACATGCCTTACAAGAATTGCTTGTGTGGGGCTGGTGAGATGGCTCAGTGGTCTAAAGCACCTACTTAGAACAAGCTTAGCAAAGC